GGTCAATGACATGAGACAAAGTATATGTGAACTGCTGTATGAAAAGTGAATTTGCTCTGTAAATCTTCACCCAAATCACAATTAAAAAAAAAAACAAAAAAAAACTCAGCCACTGAAAACCCTGTGGGGCACAGTTCTCCTCTGAGGCACACAAGGTTGTGATGAGTTGGAATCAGTTCACCAACTGGTTTAGAACCTATCAAATAGGGACTTTATTTTGTTCACTGTTGTAGCCCTAGCAGCTACAGCAATGCCTGGCACAGAAATAAGTACTCACTAAATATATGTTGGATGACTGAAATTGAAATGATGACAAAATATTGGTTCTGGGCCCAGCTTCATAACCTTATTCCAACCTTAAGTATTTACTGAAAGAGAAAACCCCAGCACTAGAGTAGTCCCTGCAGTGAGACAGAGAAAGTAAAATACTCTCAAGGAACAAGACCAACCTGGCGTAGTTCAGTCTTTTACAGCATTAAGTAGCAGCCTCCTTTGCATTAATATTAGACAAGTCATTTAATCAGTAATAGTCTCCAGTCCTCAACTTTCATTCATCTGAAAGTATAAGGTGAACATAGGGCCTATTCATCAGTTCTAAACAAGTGGAAAGGGCATAGTGCCTGGGCAGAGTCTGGGGCAGCAAATTCAACACTTTTCTTACTGGAAAACGGGCACAAGAATACTTCCTTGTCAGTCCATACTACCAAAAGTGACATGTGGCTAAAATGCTTCTAATCCACTGGGCAGACGTAAAACACCAGCATGAAGAGTAATAACCATAGCAACCAGGCTGCAGAAACTGTGGAATCTGCCTGGGCAGTTGCCTTACCTTTTTAGGTAAAGCAGGAGGAGTATGATTGCACCTGCAACGATGACTGGAATGATGAGTAAAATGGTGATGTACAATGTGGAGTTGGTCTTCTCACCTGGAAAATGGAAAGCAAAGAGAAAAAGCCTTTTAGAAATAAAGCAAGCAAAAGTTGTCTTAGACTATGAGTGCACAGATAGTCTGCCTCCTACTCCAACCTCTCTTCTAAACTCTTCAATGGTGTTCTGTAACTTAAAAAAAAAAAAAAAAGTACTGGTGGCATGTGAAAGTAAAAAATCTTAACTGATTTCCAATACTATTAACAAAGATGTCATATTTATTAAATGTCATTAAATTAACACAGTGACTAGATTCCGACTCATAGTGACCCCCGTTGGGTTTCTGAGGCTATAAATCTTTACAGAAGTAGATCGTCCTATCTTCCTTCTGTGAAGCAGCTGGTGTGTTTGAACCACTGACCTTCTTAGCAGCAAAATGCCTTATCCATTACACCACCAGAGCTCCTTATTAACAAAGATGTCATATTTATTAAATGTAATTTAATTAACACAGTGACTATATTTTCTTATTGGTTATTAGTTATGCTATCACTAATAGAAAACTTAAATAATCATAACAATAACTGCCACTACTAGTATTCTTAACAGAGCACTTACTATGCCTCTGACTATAAATCGAACCAGACCCATTGCTGTTGTTGCCATTTTGACTCATGGCAACTCCATGTGTTATACAATAGAACTGTTCCATATGGTTTTCATGGCTGTAATCTGTATGGAAACAGTTCACCAGGACTTCATTCCACGGTGCTGATGGGTAGAGGTTTGAACCATCAACCTTCAGGTTAGTTGAGTGCAAACTATTTGTGCCACCCAGAGACCTTTTCTGACATTTTACTAGGTGCTTTTACTTGCTTATCTTATATTTACATGCCATTGAGGTAGATATTATTAATGCCTCATTTAAGCAGATGAGAAAGGAGGAGACTCAGAGAGGTTTAATGACTTGTCGTGAAGGGTTTAGTAAGTAATGGAGTGAGGCCTCAAATCCAGCACTGACCAATTCAAAACCTGTTAGTAACTGCCTTGCTACACCTAACACATAGAATGGCATTTGTGTATTTCTACTTTCATCTATCCCACTAGACCATGAGAGCATCATCAGGGTCTAGCATCATTGTATTAGGCAGCCTCTAAGATGGCCCCGTTAATATGACTGTTATTCAAATTTATGCCCCAACCACCAAAGCCACGGATGAGGAAATTGAAGAATTTTATCAGCTTCTACAGTCTGAAATTGACCAAACATGCAATCAGGATGTGTTAATTATCACTG